ACGATCCTATTCCCAAATGTTGGTCATTTTTGTGCTGAAAAATCATCAAATATCAAGCATTATGGGTGGATTTCGTTCAAACTTGGTACATACATTAGACATTATGGGTTCGTGATGCTCGTCATTTTATTTTTCAGATGGATTCAAAATGGCTGACTGGCAGCCATTTTGTTTTAATGATTGGGCTTCAAGCCACATCTCTTAAATGCTTTGACTTATTATATTTAAATTTTATATATTCATTATACATCGTTATATATATATACATGTATTCAAAATGGCTGATTTTGAATGCTGTTCCCGAGCAATATCTCTCAATATGGTCATGTACTTGTTTGACGATCAGATACAAATGTCTATCATTTTAATGTTAAAAAAATCATATTCCTGACATGGTTATATTCCAGCTATATTACTATAAACAAAACTATATATCTTAAATTTGATAACTAACGGGGACTGTGCCATGCATGGCTTGTTATTAATGATTTAAAGGATAGTTTGGATAATGCCAATACTGAATCACCACTCCTAAATAATAACACTGTTAATGTGCAGATGATTTAGCCCTCATTTCCACTATCCAGGCTGCTCTACAGACATCATTAAATACACTAAATGAATATTGCAATAAGTGGAAATTGAGTGTGAACCTTTCAAAAACTCAAGTTGTTACCTTTGGTTCATCAACATTGAGATATAAATATCAATCAGTTTTGAAAATGATAACATTCAAACAACAAACAGTTATACATATCTACGTTTTTCTGATGCCATGTCAAATTTAGCAGGTAAAGCTGGAAAATCAATTTATATCATGAACAAGGTACTTTTAGGAAATCTAGAAATAACACTAAAAATATAACTATTTAACATTTACATAAAACCAATTTTGCTTTATGGCTAAGAATTATGGGCCCTAGATTTGCAGGACATTCAGGACAATGCTAAATGGGACAAAACATCAATTGAAAAAATCAATATTAAATTCTCAAACAAATCTTACAAGTGAATAAAAAATTCTGTAACTTAGCATCAAGAGCAGAGGTGGGTCATTATCCACTACTACTCAGTGCAAAAGTGCAAAAGCTATTAATTACTGGTTGCATATAAAGGAACTCCCAGATGATAATCTTACAAAACAGGCATACCTAGAACAAACACAACACAACACAATACTAAACAATACAAATGGCTAAATGCAATACATACAATATTGAAAGACAATTCACTAACTTCATAAACGAAAAAAACACTCACTATGAAACAAAAAAATCAAATTTTAAAAACTTCTCTTGAAAATAAATACATGTATACCAGTTCTGGAAAGAAATGATTTCCAAAGAAAATAGCAAACTGAGCACATGTGTTAAATTTAGAACAGAATACATCTTTTGAGCCATATTTGAATGAACTTGACACTCATAAGAGGAAAATGTTGACAAAATTTACAATTAGTAACCATAACTTAGCAATATTCATTTCCTAAGAAAACCTATAAACAAAAGAGTATGCAATAACTGTGACATAAATTCAATTGAAGATGAAGAACATTTTCTATTGAATTGCCCAAAATATAACACAAACAGGGAAAACTTCATCAAAAAAATTATGACACTACTTTCATCCAACAATAAAAATATACAGTTCACATATATACTCTCAAGCAAAGATCCTGGCATAATTATAGAACTTGCCAATTATATTTACAC